TTTAAGGTGTGTTAAAGATGCCTTTAAAAGGTGAAGCACAGCAGTTTCAGAGCTCTGCTTTTGTTTTTCTTACCTACAATCAGATCGACGTGCTGGTGATTGTTCCTCACATGTTCTTCAAACAGGTCAATTACTGCTTTAAGGGCAGCTGGGTCCTTGAGGATGGGACAAATATCTCTGCAAGATTCAGACACAATAGTTTGTAGCATTCACAGCCTGGCAGATACAGGACTTTGAAGACTCATGCTATTGTTTGGTGGCTTAAAAGTCAGATAGAACTGCTGATATTTTCCTGAGGGAAGACAAAGACTCTGATAGACAAACAATGCAACATGAGCACGAGACAGGAGGAACACCCTGAAACCACGCTGAAGGCTTTTTCTCCTGTGTCTTCATTTATCAGCTGTTATAAATCCCAATACTGATATATCAGCTGATGCTGGGAGTAGCTGTGGCTCAGCAGGAATAGTAGTTCGTCTACTTATTGGGGGGATTGGACCTCCAGGTAAATCAGGCTTAAATAGTAACCAGTCCTTTTGGATACACATCAAAATGATCAAATACATTTCCACAGAGAGATTTCATTTGCTAGAGATGCAAAGTGTTGATTTCTGATCTATATTTGACATTGGAGAGACAAAACCCAGCCTTTGACTTGTAGGTGGTACAGTTATAATGCAACAGTACTAACTGAACAAATACTGCATGTTATTTGAACTGAACCACCCTGTAGCTGGATGTTGTAGTGTCCTGGGGCTCTGTGTTGGGTGGACTACTTTTTACATTTTACATGCTACCTCTAGGGAGAACTGTTAGAAAACACTGTATGCATTTTCACTGCTGGAAGGCTGACACCCGATTATATTACTATAATAGATCAACTGCATGGAGGTCTTAAGCCTGCATCATCATTTCTGTGTCTGCAACATTCAGATCTGAGAGGCAATTTTCACGCACAGTCATCAAAGTGTTGCAAGAAAATATTCCCACCGTCAAATACTACTAACAGCCTGAAGGTTAAACGTTTGTTCATATTCATTTGCATGATGTATTCCTTATTAAACAGCTCATTGTCATGTTTAAAGGCCTCTGAAGTTAACCTCTGAGTAGTTCTCTGACTGTAGTGAAGGCTTTCAGTGCTTTGAGCCATTGCGGCATCCTGACAGCAGGATTTCATGGGGATTTTATTTTGAAATACACACTGATATTGACGTCATGCTCAGCGGGTATCACTGAGGCCGTTTACTGTCTGAAGTTCAAGTTCAGGCTGTGGAAACAATTGTAGGTCATAGATGAGCTTTCGGGAGGCTTTACTTCCGTCAGAATCAGACTGAGCTGGTGTCGATGACTAAATGAGCCGTTTAACGTGGACATCACGCGTCGCTGCTCTAACTTGAAGAGCCCCACCCTCCCTGTGCTCAGCCAGTGTCAAGAATGAATGAAAGCACTGCACTGCACCACACACACACACACACACACACACACACACACAC